CTCAGCCAGGCATCACCCGGGAGGCAGGGCCCTCAGTGCCTCCCCACGTTCATCCATTAACAATCACAGTCACGCACCTGCAGCAGAGCAGGCGTTCCCCACCACCCCCAAACTCAGGATCTCTGCTCCTACTGTCTGTCCTCCCACAGCAGGGAGGGGGCGCTGGTGAGCACCGCACCCAGGTCCTGCCCCTTCTCTGCCCACAGCCCTCCAGGGTGCTCATGTCCTGCCCTGGGCCCAGGAGGCCTGCACCACCTGCTCCCATTGCCTCCCCCTTCCCTGTCTCACTCTGTCCAGGCACATGAACCTCATTCCTGTCCTTCCAACCCCCCAGGTGGGGTCCTGTCTCAGGGCCCTCGCATGTGCTGTGTTCTCGCCTAGGCTGTTCCCCGAGGCCTCCGCATGATGGGCTCCTTCTCATTTTCCAGGTTTCAGCTCAGTCGCCACCTCCTCAAAGACACCCTGCCTGACACCATCAGATAAAACAGCCCCGCCCTTCTCAGCCTCATCATCCAGGATTATTGTCTTATCCAGGTACTCACTATAAATGATTGGTTTTATTTCCCCGGTTAGTGTCCATATCTCCACTCTGGGAACTTACAAAGGGCAGAGTCCACTCTGCCTTGGTCATTGCTGGTCCCCAGTACCTAGCACATAGTAAGTGCTCATCCAATATCTGTCAACTCATCAATGAGAACAAGGACCCCACAGCTCCAGGGCCAGGCCATACATTCCTGCCTTTCAAAGTTATTTCTTTTTCTGGAGTAAGAAAAACAATAGGTCATGCCTGGCATTTTGCCTGCTTCCGCTTGTTTAAATGTTCAAGCTTAAAGGAGCAAGAATAGCACTGGTGTTTTACAGATGCGGAAACTGAGGCTCAAAGAGCGGGCAGGAGTAAGTAATGAAAGGATTCCAACCCAAGTAAGTCTGCCCTAACTATGGCAATCTCTAAGGGCAACGACTCAGAGTGACTGTTTCAAACTCCCAGGGACTCCGACTCTGGCTTTCAGAAAGGGAGAAGGTTCTGAAACTATAATATTAGAAAACACGTGGCTCCCCCGTGAACTCCTACACATCCGCCGTGGCCCCAGCTATAACCTCCTCCCCAGTGCATCTTTCTTGATCCAACTGGTAGAGATCAGCTTTCCCCAGGCCCATGTGTTCCCTCTGCTAGGGCTCTTACTCCACGTAGCAGAGAGGGTCAGGGTCTGCCTCTGCTTCCCCTCCCACGAGCCTGGAAGCCTTTTGAGGGCCAACAAGGCATCAGAGCTAAAGGCTCCTTCCTGAGCTCCAGCATCACCCAACACGGGGCATGGCATATAGGAGCCGCTGGGAGTACTCATTGAGTTATCAGTCCTGAGGTGGCCTGGATCTCCCCCCGAGAACCCACAACCTTCTCTGGGTTCCTGCAGTGGGGAAATTCTCTCCTAGGCCAGCCCTTGGAAGGCAACTTGGTCTGGGCCAGGACACATCCTGGGAATTGTAGTCCTTACTAGACAGGGCCTACCTCACAGCAGACCCTGGGGTGGCTACCTTTGGACCCTGGGACCAGAAAGTAAAGGGGCATTTAGGGCAACTGGTGTGGGGGGGGCACATATGACTGCCCAAAGGGATGTAAGAAGGGTCCCTAGCCCTCAGCGCATTATAACATCTGCTACTTTCTCTAAACATCCCAGAGGGCTGGCCATGATAAAAGAGCATGATGTGGCTCAGGCCTGGATCTCTTGGGCCATGCGCTGAATTCCTGCTGGCTCCCTGATCATTTGACCACAGGACATGGGCCGGTGGCTGGGGCACCACATCTGAGGCTGCCTTGAGCCTCAGTGTCCCTATTTCTGAGAAATCAGACCCACCACAGTCAATCCCAGTCACCACTGCATCTTGGAGGAATCAGGATCTGAGAATGTGCAGCCCCTTAAATGGCCTAGAATTTCAGAATCATGGTATTTTAAACATTACAGCAAAACGCCACAGTAAGTGGAAATTGAAAACAACTCTGGAGGGTTACCTGGGCCTAACCAACACCAGACTTATTTTTCCAGAATTTGGAAAGACGACTCTCCACCTCCACTTGCCTGCCTCCTGTGACGAGCGACTCCCCACCCCCTGAGCAGCAACCTTGGTTGTCAGGTGCCTGTTTCCTACTAGGTCCCTGCTAGTGACTGCTCAAGTCTGAAATGTTGCCCATTCCACCCTCACCCGGCTCTAAAGCCTTCTGTGGCTCTCTAATGCCTTTGGGAGTAAAGTCTGTTCCTCAGTTTGGCATTCACAGCCCCTGCCCTCCTCTCAGGCCTCCCTGTTCATTTTCTCCCACACCTAAAACAGTCACTCAGGCTCCCCCAACACACCCTGCCGTGGTTGTCTTTACCACTCCCGCCATCTGGAACACCTGTCCCCTCTCCTCCCGGCAACATCCTTCCATCCTTCAAACCCAGCGCCAGCATCTCCTCCTCCAGGTAGCCTTCCCTGATTCCATCTGCCTCTCTCTTAGCCGCCAGCATCATCCAGCAAAGGGCCAGGCACGCAGGAGGAGAGCCACACCCAGGGTCAGCTAGGGACACCTCCTTCCCAGGAGACGGGCAGTGACCAGCGCGTCCTTCGGCCCCCAGGGACCTGGCTCACCTGTCCCGCTGGCTGACGTCAGGGTCACCTTCCCAAGGGCAGTTTGATTTCTATCTTCCAGGCCCAGCCCCAAGGTAACCCCAGCAACTCCAGTCTCAAACCCTGGACGATCACTGCAGATGTCAAAATCTCTCCAGCCCAAATCCCCAGTGACTGAGGCCCCGCCCAGGTGACTCAATCCCTCCACTGCACACATTCTCACCTCCTTGGAGGTGAGAGGACCCTGAGGATTTGGGTGCTCAGCCCCGGCAGGAGGAAATGTGGAGAGGTTTCAAAGGCAGAAGGTTCTGTGTGACCCTCCTCCGTCTCATCTCCCTCCACTCAGAACTGAAAACCAAAGAGCACCCCTGACGAGCCCAGAGCCCAGAGGGGGCCAGCAACTTGCCTGCGGCCATGCTCTCTCCTCCTGGTCCCAGCCTTTTCTGCTCCACAAAAATTTTTTTCTGGAGGGGGGTGGGGTGTTGCAAGACCCATGTCTAATTTCTGCACAGCTCACCATCAACCGGGCTTCTGAGGCAACCCTCAGCTGGGGGTGGGGATGCAGGAGGGTACTGCTAACATGGGGTTCCTTTCCTCCTTCACCCCATCTAGCAGCCTCAGGGGCAGAAAGGTCTGGCTCCCCTCTTTGCCCACTCTGCCCCCTCCTGGGCTCGGTCTCCTGTCTGCTTTTGGGAATGGGCTGCTTCAGAGTGGACGCTTTAGTTCAATGAGGCTCCGAGAGATGCCAGCTACCCCATACCCACCGGGGTCTCTTCTGGGCCACACTGACCCCCAGACAACTTCCCAGGGAGCTGGTTCTGACCCCACCCAGGACCCCCAGCCAAGTCCTCCATGCTGTACTCTTTCAAAGAGAGTTTCAGCAATCGCCTGAATATTTCTGAAAATGTGATCTCTGAAAGAAACTGTGTCTAATAGGATGTGGGAAGGGGTGGGGGTGTCGTGGGGGATGGATGTCCCAGGTTACTGAACTTTGATTTTGGAGAGGGTATGTGGACGCCTAGTGAAAAGCTGCGGGAACCCAGAAAAACATGAAGCAATGCAATTTTGCAAATGGAGTGTGTGTGTGTGTGTGTGTGTGTGTGTGTGTGTGTGGCGGGGGGGGGGGGTCCTGTAGCCCCAGTCACTAGAATCACTCTTCATTCCTCCTTAAACCCAAATCCAGATCTTGAATGACTGCAGTTCCCTCTCCTAACCCTAAGCTCCAGCTCCCCTCCAATCTGGGGGTCAAAGATGACATAATGTGAAGAACGCCAAAAACCTCAGCCAGTTAGGGGGGAGGGTCTGGGTATGGCCCCCAACCCCAGGACTCTTGCAAATACTCCCAGCTCCAGCATCTATACCTATTGGGCAGGGAGGAGGGGTCTCTATGGCAGCGTCCCCTCTGGGAGGTGCCCCAAACTCGGAGGGCACTAGGGGGAGCGCAGCAGGATGGGGGGGCACGTGACCCCCGCTCCAGGAACCAATCAGCGCCTGCAAGAGGGGGCCACACTCATCACCCCCACCCCGCCTAGTGCGCTCTGAGAGAAACGCTTTCTTTGTCCCTTTGTCAGCTCTTGGGGGGACCTGCACCCCCGAGCCCCCACTGCAGCGGGGAGGGGGATCCGGACCCTCTGGTTCTCTCCCCCACCGTGGCCCTCCCCCGCGGCGCGGGCCCTGGACGCGTTCTGGGCCCGGCCAGAGGCAGGAGAAAGGCACGGGGGCGCCCAAGGTGCGGCGGCTGGACCGCGGAGTGGGGCGGGGGGCTTCGCCGCGCCGGGACCACCACACCAGCCCCGGGTGGCCCAAGACTTAGATCTCAGGGCCCCGCCCCCCAACAACACCCCACCCCCGGCTAGCAGACCCCCTCCCTTCCCCAACCCCCCACCTGGGCCCAAATCCAGCTCCCCAGCGGCGCAGCCGCGAGTCCTCATTATTGTGCCTTCTAGGCTCCCCCCCCACAAAATCTCCACCCGCTGCGGTGCCGACAGAACCCCCATTATAGCTCTACATACAGGCCCCCCAGTCAAGAATCCAGTGCCCCCCCCAGCTGCAGTACCATTAGACACCCCCATTATGGAGATTCATTTAGCGCCCAGGCCCAAATCCAACCTCTTAAAAGCGTTGCTACTGGACCCCCATTATAAGGCTCCTTAAGGCGACCCCCCGAAAATCCAGCCCCTCTCCCCAGTTGCGTCGCTGACAGATCGTCTCCTCACAGCGCTCCACCAGCCCCTTCTCGGCTCCAAACCCATCCTCCCAGCAGCGGGGCGCGCAGACTCCCCCATTATACCTCCAGCCCGGCCACCCCTGCCAAGAATCCAAGCCCCCGGCTGCGTGCCGACGGACACCCCGGGATGACGACGCCCCAGCCCCCTCTCCAGACGCCCCGGGGCGCTCACCTCGAGCCGGGCCGCGGCGAGGCGCGGGAGGGACGCGGGCGCGGGCGGCGCGGGCGGGGGGTCCGTGCGCGCACCTGTCCCGGCCGGGCCGGCTCAGCCCGGCATCCCGGCGGGGGGAGCGCTGGGGCCGCGTCTCCCCGCCCCGGGCCCGGGCGCTGCGCTGGGGGAGGGGGCTCAGCCCCGGCCCCCCGCGCGCTGGCGTCGGCTCCCGGGGGGCGCTGCGCGGCGGCCGGACCGGGGGCGCGCCGCGGCCGCATCTCCTCCGCCCGCCGCGGCCGCCGCTGCGACTCGCGGTTCTGCCACCTCCGCCCCCCGCGGCCCCCCCACCCCCCCACCCCGAAGCCGGCCCGGAGCCGCGCAAAACCCGGCCCGGAGCGAAGGCGCGGAACGGAGAGCAGAACGGAGTGGGCTGCCTGAGGCGCTGGAGGCGGGGTGGGGGCGGGGAGCGGCTCCCAAGAAGGCACCCTGCTTCTGCACAGATGGGGAGCCTGCTTGTTTCCTCAATTTCCTGCTCCCTTCCCTCTGGCCAGAGTTGCACCCCCAGGATCCATCTCTTCTCAGATTCACAGGGATGGTCAGGGTGATGCTGAGTCAGGAACTACCCCTCCCGGGTCTGCATGACCTCGTTGGTGGATGAGGTCATTTAGTCAATCCACTATCTTCACACTAACAAGACTCACTGAGGAAACTGAGGCAGAGGGAGGCATCTTGTCCAAGGTCACTCAACTAGGATCAGAACCTAAGCAAGCTAGCTGCGGACAGCAGAATGGCACACAGCCCCCAGAGGCCGTCCTCTGCCCCAGTGCCCAGAAAGGGGTGCTGAGGGGGCTCCAGCAACCCCTGGTCAGGTGGGAGCTGCTGCTGTCTTTTAGCCTCCAGGATGGAGCCTCCCAGTTTTGCAGACCTTCCCGTAACCGCTCTGGCCCTCTGTGATCTTAGGACAACCAGGAGCCCCTTTTATGGCCTTGGGGTCCTTCTCTGTTCAAACACTTCCATGTGGTTGTGACCATGTGTCTCCCTCGCTGGCTACTTGCTGTCCTGTGCCTCTTGGATCTTCAGTATAGAGGGTTCAGTAAACATTTTACTCTAGCATGTTATTTATTGACATTTCTTGTACACCTACTGTGTGCTGGGACTACTCCTGAGCATCTAAGGCATATATTCATCTTCAGGTTAGCCCCGAGAGGCCCCCATAGACAGTAAACGGGGACAGAGAGGGCGAGGAGCTTTCCCTAGGTAGAGCAACCTCTCCGTGTGCTTACCCACTTTGTCCTGTGCACAACTCCCAGCCGTCCTGGGGGGAGGGGAGTGTCTCAGACAGGTGGTGTGGCTTCCAGGTGACCAGGCACACAGCAGGGGGCAGGGCTTGAACCCTGCTCCCCTGGACACTCTGGGTCCCTGGCAACCTGCAGCCTCCTTGGCACCCTGAGACACAACCCTGTTCTTTCAGGCCCTGGGCATTTTCCCAGAGACTATCCCATCAGCAACCACAAACCTCCGCCAACAGTCAGGCCTTCCTGCTGGTGGTTTTGCCTTAACCTGCTTTCCGGCAGAGCCAGAGTTCCAGGCAAATCAGCCACCACCTGCTAGCATCCAGCCTCCCAACTCTTTGTCTGGAGGGGTTTGGGATGGGGGTAGGAGGGGCCGAGGCCTGCTGGACAAGGGGGTTAAATCACAGAACCCCTGCTGGGTATCCAGGCTCTACACTTGTCACCCTGCGGTGTCCATCCCCTAGCATGCCAGCAGCCTGGCCCCATGTGGCCTCCTCTGCAACCTATTCCTTCAAGAAACATCTGCTGAGCTCCTACTGTGTGCCAGGTCCTGCGCTAGGCAGTCCACAAGAAACTGGCTCCCTACCTTCAATCTAGCAGGGAAGCTGGAAGAGCCCCAAGTTGCAGAATTGAAGGCATAGATACAGGCAGGGCACCGTTACAGGTGGGGTTCCAGGAGGCACAAGGGGGGGTGGTTTGGGGCCAGAGAAGGACAGGATGGGGAGCGGGAAGGGGACACCGGTAGAAAGACCGGCTGGGACAAAAGCCCCGAGGGAGGCTCCACCTCCGTTCAGCTGCCACCCAGGCTTCAGCAGCCATGAATGGGTCTTTCATGTCCCTGACCAGGGCAGGGTCAGGCCGGGCTGCTCCCCTCCCCCTCGCCTGCCCCTGGGCTCCTCACTGTCTGAGCTGTGGCCCGAAGGAGGGTGGCAGGAAGTTCACAGTTGGCCTCGGGGTGAGTCAGGGAGGCCCAGGGAGGGGCAGGGTCTCACCCGAGGTTCCCACTGCCAGCAGCACCCTCCAAGTTACGAGACTGAGCAAACCCCGCCCTCTGGGCCTCAGTTTCCCGGTCGCCGCTGCCTGCTTGGCCCGCGCTGCGCACCGGTCCTGCTCCGCCCCGGGCGGGATCCAGTGCGGGTTTTGCGGGCGCCGCGGCCACCGGCACCTACTCGGCGCTGCCCGGCCGCTGCGCGGGGTCCGGGGGGCGCGGGGCGACCCCGCGGGGGCCAGAGGCCTTCGGGGGCCCTTGATGGGGTGACGCTGAATCTAGCCCTGGCTGACTGGCGCCTGGGGGGGGGTTGGGAATCCCGCCCCGCTGCCCCCGAGCCCCCCATCAGTGCTCCCCGCCCGGGCGCCCCGCTGCGTGGCTCCCTCGCGTCCGAGCCGGGTCTGGGCAGCGCGGGGGCCAGGCGGGGGGCGGCGGCTCCCAGGGGTCCCCCCTCCCCTCCCAGGCGCGCCCCCGCCTCGGTTTTCTGGACGGGTGCGGGTCCTCTTTTAAGTTGGGGGGTGGTAGCTGCGCGGTCGTGCCCCGGGTCCCGGCTCGGGCCTGGGAATCCCCTGGGGGGCTCAGAAAGGGCAGCTCCGATTGGCTGAGGCCGCGTGTGACGTCAGGGCCTCCCCGACGCCCCCCCCCCCAGGGGCACGTGGGGCGGCCGCGGCGGAGGAGGGGCCGGGGGTCCGGGAGGATTCGGGGTGTCCCCCCAGCCCGGGCCGGCAGCTGGGCAGCGCAGACGCGATTGTCCTCGGACAGATTTTTCCCTCGTCCCAAATCCCCCTCCAGCCCCCCCAGAACGGCAGCTGCTCGGGCGGCAGATGCGCAGCTAAGTCCGCCCAGCTGGTCCCTCCGCAGAGCTGACCGCCCGGAGCCCGCGCGCTCGTGTGGGGCGGCGCGGCCGCGGCTCTGCCCCTTCGATCCCGGCCTCCTTGGGGGGGGGGGTCCTCTCTTGGCGTCGTCGCCAAGTACCCCTCTGGAGGGTTGGAGGGAACCGGTGCCCAAGAGGGTGTGGCCCGTTCCCGAGGCCACGCAGCATCCCTGGACCTGCTGCCCGGATAACTCCCCACAGTGTGCACATCGCGGTCATTGCAGTGATGGGCATTTACTGAGCACCTACTATTTGCAGCTCCATCATTATAGAACATCGTCACTACTGTTATTCCGTCTCAGTGTGGAAACTGAGGTGCAGTGAGAAGCGGCTGGTCACTCACCGAGCAACTGGAGCTGGAATTTGAACCCCAGGCTTTCCAGCACTTACTCTGGGACTCACTAGCTTGGAAGACCCGTGAGTGAGCAGGTGGGATCTCGAGGACCTCCCCTGCCCTCTGCCTGGGCACTTCTGAGCCTGGGGCAGACCCTGGCTCCTTGCCTTCAGCCCCACCGTGGGGACCATTGCCAACTGCCAGCACTGAGGATGCAGAAGGGCTTCCAGGGGAGGAGGGGGGAGAGCAGAAGAGACAGGTGGAGGAGGAGAGAGGAGGAGAAAGAAGCAGGAAGAGGGAGAGGGGGAGGAGGCTGCAGCAGCTCCAATGGAAAATGTATGCACAAATAAAATAAATCTGGAAAAGGAAAAAAAAAGAAAAGAAATGTTGGGAGTACAACTGTGGAGGCCTCATGCATGTCCCTGAATGTGCTGTTTTTGTTCTGAGCCTGTCCTGCCTCAGGGCCTTTGCACTTGCTGTTCTGTCTGCCTGGAATGATCTCCATAGGGGCCCCCTCTCCTCCAAATCTCAACCCAAATGTCACCTCCCCTGGGAGCCAGCTGTGATGTCCCCAGCTACCACGTGCCCTTGCTTTCTAGCCCCTTCTCCTGCTCGGTGCTTCGTTGTGTTTCTCACAACCAAACATTGTCTGTTTTCTCCCTGCTGGATCCTCATTGCCTAGAAAAGCACGAGGTATTCGGAAGATGGTCAGTAAATGCTTGTTAACCAGAAACCTCAGAGACGTGGACACGAATGGGGGGGCTGGAGGGCAGAGGGCAGCTATGGGGAAGCCCCTATGGTACTGGGGCAAAAGACCTTGACCCTGTCTTTTGCCCCCTTCATCCAGAGGCTCCCCCTCCTCCTGTCATCTCCCCCACCCTCCAGGCACTCTGTTTGAGTCACTCTGACCTCTGACCTCTTCCCTCCTTGCTGTTCCTCTAGCTGGTCACAGTCTGTTCAGCCTCTGGCAGTTCTTTCTAGCTGGGAGAATCTTTCTTCCCTGAGCTGCCCCCCTCACACCCTCCAGGTCTCTGCTCAACTGTTTTCCCAATACCCCCCCCCCCAGGCTCCCTCATGTCCCCTCATACTCTCCCATCTAAATAATCATCCCCTTCCCCTGTTTGGATTGCTTTGCTATACTTTTTTTTTAAACAGTATTTCTTTTATCCATTCTCTTCTTTCTCTTCTGGTGAGCTCTGCCAGGGGGGGCATGGAGTCTGCCATGGTCTCTGCTGGGTCTGCTGGGTCTCTGATGGGGTCTGGCACACAATAGACGGTCAACAAAAGTGCTGAACAAATGAATGAGTGAGTGAGTGGGGCCTGAGAGCCTCTGGTACCTGCCTTCCCTCCTGATAGGGAAACTGAGGCCCGGTTGGGTTGGGGGCTGGCCTGGGGGCTCTCAGTTACCTCCCTGACCAAAATAAAAGGGCAACAAGAGGCTACCTCTTAAGCTTGGGGGAGAGGTAACCAGAAAGCTAATAACCTCAGGAGCACTTATTAAGCACCTACTGTGTACAGAGCAGAGCTCCCAGCACTTTGCTCATTTTGAATTGGGCA